AACAGATAACAATTAAACACAAATGAGTATTACAAAAACAGGTCGTATGGTTGCTTGCATTGCTGTACAATCAGTATTTATTTATTTATTTATTTAATTTGAACATAATACAGAGAAGTACAAGAAATACAATTTTTAAAGTGCAACATGCCAAAGCCCCTTGTATGCAGAGCATTATGGGCAGTTTAAAATTAACTTAAGATTAACTAAGCAATGATATATTCAGTGGTACAAAAATTATTGTAAAACAGATAACAAAGACAGGTCATATGGTCATTTACTGTGTTGCTGTGTAATCAGTAGAATGGAGTATTCTGTTAGGTAATGAAGTTAAATAGTAACAAAGTTTGATTGGGTCACAGGTTGACATTTATGAGATACAATAATGGAGTGATGAACACCAGCTACCTGTCTCCCTTTCTCTCCAACTGTGTGACCTTCATATGACTGAGGAGTTAGTGACTCTGGTTGGGTGTGTTTTTCTGCCCAGGTTTTGGGCAGGAATGTCTGTGATTTTCTGGCCAGATTTGGGTAATGCAGTATTTTCTACTTGGATTTTGGGAGTAAGGTTCTGTTGTAGCTCTTAAACCCCCATTATATGTAGCTAGTACATAGAATTTATAGTGTTTTATATTTTATATTGCATGTGATCAAAATACAAACATACAAGTGTTACACATGATCACTAAACCAAGTATAATTTTTTGTTATAATCTTTTCTTAACAAATTTAGTTTGCAAATACGTACATACAGTGGTACCTCGAGTTAAGAGCTAATTCTTTCCAGAAGGCTGTTCGAGTGCCGATACCGAACGAATTTGTTCCCATAAAGAATAATGTAAATTAGATTATTCCATTTCGGACCCCCAAAAATACACTTACAAAAGCACTTACAAAAATACACTGAATAACTATTCGAGTTGGGAGCTGTTTGAAACTCAAGGTACCACTGTACTACGCAATTTATTTAGAGGTTTAAAAATTTATTCATCCTTTATAACTAAATGAAAGGGAAGCAAAACTATTCCACTATATGACTTTGTGGCCAGTTAAATGTTTTCAACTTTTTCTGGTCTTCTCATTCTGTCTCATAAAAACCTAAGATGACAAGTGAATAAATAAAATAAATAATACAATTTCCACAAGATACTGTATGTTTTTTAACAAGACTGGATGACATTTAGTAGTACTCATGGAAAGCTCCTGGTTATGCAGAGCATTTCAGACAAGCTTAAGGCTACAATTAATTTTTACAGACAAGTAATTGCATTTTTCTTAATAAACCAGATGTAGACCAAATGAAATGCAAACTTTGCCAGATGAACTATTGTCACACCTTGCGTCATTATGTACCGGAATGCAATAAAAGTGTATTCAGAGACAACTCACTCAGAAATGTTCAAAGTATTTTATCCATAGTGGTATATTATAAACAATTCTAGAAAAATACCCTGCCCTTGCTTACTGTAAATAAAGCTAATAGCTGCATTAATAACTCATTGCAATTGTGATCATGTGTAGAAGAGTGAATGGTTCATTATCTTTGTAACTTGTTCAGCTATCAAAACTTTGTGGCCCAGTCCCTGGACCCCTTATGTACCTCTGTAATCTTTTTGACTACCTCCCACAGGATGGGTATGGGGTGCATTATAGATATTAAACTAAAACTTCTTAATAGTGCCTATTCTTGTAATAGAGGTTTCCTCTTACTGAATGTATGTAGTTCACTTTATGTGAATTTGATATTATGTGGTGTCATTCTCATTTGTAATCTCATATATGCATTATACATTCCCCATTTACTATTAGTGCAAGTCACAATAAATATTAAAATTTTTCAAGTGGAAATAAGTGTTGAGAACATGATTAAGCTTAATACAGCTGTCATGGGCCTTGAATGCATCAAGTGCATAAAGCAAGGGACACCTATATTTCTCTTTTAATGTAGGATGCCTTGGCTGAGATCTGTGGGGATGATACCTGATAGCATGTATATGTATTTATGTGTGTATGGAGGCAAAGAAGGGAATGTATGAAAGTATAGTAGTACCAATACTCTTATATGGGTGTGAAGCTTGGGCTCTAAATGCTGCAACAAGGTGGCAGTTGGAGGCAGTGGAGATGTCCTGTCTAAGGGCAATTTGTGGTGTGAATATTATGCAGAAAATTCGGAGTGTGGAAATTAGGAGAAGGTGTGGAGTTAACAAAAGTATTAGTCAGAGGGCTGAAGAGGGGTTATTGAAGTGATTTGGTCATTTAGAGAGAACGGATCAAAGTAGAATGACATGGAGAGCGTATAAATCTGTAGGGGAAGGAAGGCGGGGTAGGGGTCGTCCTTGAAAAGGTTGGAGGGAGGGGGTAAAGGAGGTTTTGCAGGCGAGGGGCTTGGATTTCCAGCAAGCCTGCGTGAGCGTGTTAGATAGGAGTGGAGACGAATGGTATTTGGGACCTGACGAGCTGTTGGAGTGTGAGCAGGGAAGGGAATCAGGGAAACCGGTTATTTTTATATAGCCGAACTTGAGTCCTGGAAATGGGAAGTACAATGCCTGCACTCTGAAGGAGGGGTTCAGGATATTGGCAGTTTGGAGGGAAATGTTGTGTATCTTTATATGTACATGTATATGCTTCTAAACTGTTGTATTCTGGGCACCTCTGCAAAAATAGTGATTGTGTGTGAGGTGAAAGTGTTGAATGATGAAAGCATTTTCTTTTTGGGTCACCCTGCCTTGGTGGGAGACGGCGAACTTGTAAAAAAAAAAATATATATACAGTGGACCCCCGCTTAACGATCACCTCCAAATGCGACCAATTATGTAAGTGTATTTATGTAAGTGCGTTTGTACGTGTATGTTTGGGGGTCTGAAATGGATTAATCTACTTCACAATATTCCTTATGGGAAAAAATTCGGTCAGTACTGGCACCTGATTATACTACTGGAATGAAAAAAGTTTGTTAACCGGGGGTCCACTGTATGTATGTATGTATGTATGTATGTATGTATGTATGTATGTATGTATGTATATATATATATATATATATATATATATATATATATATATATATATATATATATATATATTTATATATATATATATATATATATATATATATATATATATATATTTATTTATTTATTTATTTTCAACAAGTCGGCCGTCTCCCACCGAGGCAGGGTGACCCAAAAAAGAAAGAAAATCCCCAAAAAGAAAATACTTTCATCATTCAACACTTTCACCACACTCGCACATTATCACTGTTTTTGCAGAGGTGCTCAGAAATACAACAGTTTAGAAGCATACACATATAAAGATACACAACATATCCCTCCAAACTGCCAATATCCCAAACCCCTCCTTTAAAGTGCAGGCATTGTACTTCCCATTTCCAGGACTCAAGTCCGACTATATGAAAATAACCGGTTTCCCTGAATCCCTTCACTAAATATTACCCTGCTCACACTCCAACAGATCGTCATGTCCCAAGTACCATTCGTCTCCATTCACTCCTATCTAACACGCTCACGCACGCTTGCTGGAAGTCCAACCCCCTTGCCCACAAAACCTCCTTTACCCCCTCTCTCCAACCCTTTCGAGGACGACCCCTACCCCGCCTTCCTTCCCCTATAGATTTATATGCTTTCCATGTCATTCTACTTTGATGCATTCTCTCTAAATGACCAAACCACCTCAACAACCCTTCTTCTGCCCTCTGACTAATACTTTTATTAACTCCACACCTTTTCCTAATTTCCACACTCCGAATTTTCTGCATAATATATACACAACACATTGCCCTCTAAATAACCAAACCACCTCAACAACCCCTCTTCTGCCCTCTGACTAATACTTTTATTAACTCCACACCTTCTCCTAATTTCCACACTCCGAATTTTCTGCATAATATTTACACCACACATTGCCCTTAGACAGGACATCTCCACTGCCTCCAACCGTCTCCTCGCTGCTGCATTTACCACCCAAGCTTCACATCCATAGATAACGTTTTTTGACTCCACATATACCTCAACGCACCACTCACCTTTTTTCCCTCATCAATTCTATGATTAACCTCATCCTTCATAAATCCATCCGCCGACACATCAACTCCCAAGTATCTGAAAACATCCACTTCTTCACTTCTTCCATATATAATATAATTATAATCATATATAATTACAAAAAATCAGAGATACAAATTTTGTGGGTAAAAGTTTACTATTGCACAAAGTCCAACAATTACAATTAAAGCCAGTTACATATTTAACATTAAAAACATTCTTTCTCCATTGCACACCACCTACTTGTGGTGCAGCATTATATTAGTGAAATATTTCAAAATATCACTCCTTTTCTGCTGCTTTCCCTACAAGTGTATATACAGATGTATATGAATGAGATGTGCAATACCTAGAAGGTTTTACATCGACTAGTGTCTTTTTTTTTTTTCAAGTCAATAGAGATTATGTAATGGAGACAGCAGAGGATGAGGTAATCAGTTTCTCAGCTTTAACAGGTGTTCAATCCCTTAATATTGATAAAACTAAAACAGATGCCTTGAGACTGAGCCAGGAGAGGTGCAGCAATTGAAAACATCACAGGTGTGTGAGACCCACTAATGGAAGTAGGCCATGCCCAAGAACTAAACACCTCCTGTCAATGCTGAGGGACTGATTACCTCATCTTCCATGTCTCCAGTATATAATATTTGCACTGAACTGAAAAAGCCACTGGTTGGCAAAATGTCTTAATAAAGATACCCAGGTGTTGCACATGTGTTTTATTCATTCTTGGCATTGAATACCATTAATGTAAAGATATTTGGCAGACACAACAAAGCCATGAAATCCTGGTACTGTACAGAAGATAAGTTGTACTAAACAATCTCATTTGGATTCAGATAACCCCCTCCCCTCCCATTAATCATTTACATCAGGCTTTCACTATATATTTTTTGTGATACTTTTCATTGTTATTGTTCTTTAATACCAGTATTCTTTCAGGTATTTCTTCGTATTAATTTTATTACTAGCCCACTGACGATGGAAAGCAATGGCAACAATGCAGGCTTCAACATGGAAACCATACGTAGTGCAAATGGTGACAAAAGGCAAGACCAGGTCAGTTCGTAGGTTTGTGTTAGGAAAGTATTACACATTTCAAAGGGTCACTTAATTGCCAGAAAGTTATAAATACTGTATAAACTTTATACACCTATGCACTATATACGTAGTCTGTACATATAACAAAAAGATTAGGTGATGAAAGATTGGGTATCAGATTGGAGGGAGAGAGTATGGAGGAGGTGAATGTATTCAGATATTTGGGAGTGGACGTGTCAGCGGATGGGTCTATGAAAGATGAGGTGAATCATAGAATTGATGAGGGGAAAAGGGTGAGCAGTGCACTTAGGAGTCTGTGGAAACAAAGAACTTTGTCCTTGGAGGCAAAGAGGGGAATGTATGAGAGTATAGTTTTACCAACGCTCTTATATGGGTGTGAAGCATGGGTGATGAATGTTGCAGCGCGGAGAAGGCTGGAGGCAGTGGAGATGTCATGTCTGAGGACAATGTGTGGTGTGAATATAATGCAGAGAATTCGTAGTTTGGAAGTTAGGAGGTGCGGGATTACCAAAACTGTTGTCCAGAGGGCTGAGGAAGGGTTGTTGAGGTGGTTCGGACATGTAGAGAGAATGGAGCGAAACAGAATGACTTCAAGAGTGTATCAGTCTGTAGTGGAAGGAAGGTGGGGTAGGGGTTGGCCTAGGAAAGGTTGGAGGGAGGGGGTAAAGGAGGTTTTGTGTTCGAGGGGCTTGGACTTCCAGCAGGCATGCGTGAGCATGTTTGATAGGAGTGAATGGAGACAAATGGTTTTTAATACTTGACGTGCTGTTGGAGTGTGAGCAAAGTAACATTTATGAAGGGATTCAGGGAAACCGGCAGGCCGGACTTGAGTCCTGGAGATGGGAAGTACAGTGCCTACACTCTGAAGGAGGGGTGTTAATGTTGCAGTTTAAAAACTGTAGTGTAAAGCACCATTCTGGCAAGACAGTGATGGAGTGAATGATGGTGAAAGTTTTTCTTTTTTGGGCCACCCTGCCTTGGTGGGAATCGGCCAGTGTGTTAATAAAAATAATAATAAAAATAAAAAACATATACTCTATATATTATATGCTCTATATAAATACTGTACAAATACAGCCTCTCCTCACTTAATGACAGAGTTCTGTTCCTAAGCCCACGTTGGTAAATGAATTCGTCGCTAAGCAAGGAGTATACTACAGTGTATAATGGTAGTGGGTTTGTGTCGTCTGTCTTTGATATTGTTTTAATGTCACCTTTGTACCATTTATAACATTTCTGCTATATTTTTAAATCTTTATACAGTAGTGCACTGTATATAGTAATAAACAGAGTAGAGGAAATCAGCTCTAATATTCATTATTTAGGTGTTCATACTGGTGAGAGAGCCTGTCATAAGTCTGAGTTGTCGGTAAACGAGTGCATCGCTAAGTGGGGAGAGGCTGTAATATAAATATTATAGAGTAGTACATAATAGGAAATTTGAAAAAATTAGGGATAATTTTTTGCCCGTTGCGTAGAATTAATACTAGTGGTACAGTAACTATGTGAATATCATACAACAGTAAATATGAAATTTAAAAAAAAATAAAAACATACAAGCTTTGTCAGACCGGGCCACGGGGGCATTGACCCCCGGAACTCCCTCCAGGTAAACCTGATTACTTCCCATTTCCCAGGTGCTGTATGACCTCTATGGATTTAGCACTTTTCCATGAATATTTTTTATAGTTGTCATAATGTTGCAGTTTTAAATGTTTTAGTAATTTTACATTGTATGCTTTTTTTCAAGATACTCCTACAACCCTTCACTTATGTTCTCCAAGTTCCCGGTAAAATGATTAGAGGAAAGCTTGCTCAAGCTTTCAATTATTGGATGAGAATTCCGGAGGACAAGCTCATGGCAATATCCGAAGTCATTCATATGTTACACAACGCAAGTCTCTTGTAAGTTTATTATGATTTCCTCTGTGTGTGTGTACGTACTCACCTAGTTGAGGTTGCAAGGGTCTAGTCCAAGCTCCTGGCCCTGCCTCTTCACTGGTCGCTACTAGGTCACTCTCCCTGAACTGTGAGCTTTATCATACCTCTGCTTAAAGCTATGTATGGATCCTGCCTCCACTACATCGCTTCCCAAACTATTCCACTTCCTGACTACTCTGTGGCTGAAGAAATACTTCCTAACATCCATGTGATTCATCTGTGTCCCCTTGTTGCTCGCTCTGTGTGTGTGTACTCACCTAGTTGAGGTTGCAGGGGTCGAGTCCAAGCTCCTGGCCCAGCCTCTTCACTGGTCGCTACTAGGTCACTCTCCCTGAACCATGAGCTTTATCGTACCTCTGCTTAAAGCTATGTATGGATCCTGACTCCACTACATCGCTTCCCAAACTATTCCACTTCCTGACTACTCTGTGGCTGAAGAAATACTTCCTAACATCCCTTTGATTCATCTGTGTCTTCAACTTCCAACTGTGTCCCCTTGTTACTGTGTCCAGTCTCTGGAACATCCTGTCTTTGTCCACCTTGTCAATTCCTCTCAGTATTTTGTAAGTCGTTATCATGTCCCCCTATCTCTCCTGTCCTCCAGTGTCGTCAGGTTGATTTCCCTTAACCTCTCCTCATAGGACATACCTCTTAGCTCTGGGACTAGTCTTGTTGCAAACCTTTGCACTTTCTCTAGTTTCTTTACATGCTTGGCTAGGTGTGGGTTCCAAACTGGTGCCGCATACTCCAATATGGGCCTAACGTACACGGTGTACAGGGTCCTGAATGATTCCTTATTAAGATGTCGGAATGCTGTTCTGAGGTTTGCTAGGCGCCCATATGCTGCAGCAGTTATTTGGTTGATGTGCACTTCAGGAGATGTGCCTGGTGTTATACTCACCCCAAGATCTTTTTCCTTGAGTGAGGTTTGTAGTCTCTGACCCCCTAGACTGTACTCCGTCTGCGGCCTTCTTTGCCCTTCCCCAATCTTCATGACTTTGCACTTGGTGGGATTGAACTCCAGGAGCCAATTGCTGGACCAGGTCTGCAGCCTGTCCAGATCCCTTTGTAGTTCTGCCTGGTCTTCGATCGAGTGAATTCTTCTCATCAACTTCACGTCATCTGCAAACAGGGACACCTCAGAGTCTATTTCTTCCGTCATGTCGTTCACAAATACCAGAAACAGCACTGGTCCTAGGACTGACCCTGCGGGACCCCGCTGGTCACAGGTGCCCACTCTGACACCTCGCCACGTACCATGACTCGCTGCTGTCTTTCTGACAAGTATTCCCTGATCCATTGTAGTGCCTTCCCTGTTATCCCTGCTTGGTCCTCCAGTTTTTGCACCAATCTCTTGTGTGGAACAGTGTCAAACGCCTTCTTGCAGTCCAAGAAAATGCAATCCACCCACCCCTCTCTCTCTTGTCTTACTGCTGTCACCATGTCATAGAACTCCAGTAGGTTTGTGACACAGGATTTCCCGTCCCTGAAACCATGTTGGCTGCTGTTGATGAGATCGTTCCTTTCTAGGTGTTCCACCACTCTTCTCCTGATAATCTTCTCCATGTGTGTGTGTGTGTGTGTGTGTGTGTGTGCGTGCGTGCGTGCGTGCGTGCGTGCGTGCGTGCGTGCGTGCGTGCGTGCGTGCGTGCGCACCTCATAAAATTTCACCCGTCCTGCCAAGTGAATGTAAAATGAAAGCCTGTAATTGTTTTACATGATGGTAGAATTGCTGGTTTTTTTTTTTTTTTTTTTTTTTTGTCTCATAAACATGCAAGATTTCAGGTACGTCTTGCTACTTCTACTTACACTTAGGTCACACTACACACACATGTACAAGCATATATATACATACCCCTCAAGGAAGGTTCCTTGATATTGGTGAGGGGCTCTTGATATAGGGAATTGGATCTGTGCTCCAGTTCCCCGAATTAAGCCTGAATGCCTTCCACATTCCCCCCCCCAGGCGCTGTATAATCCTCCGGGTTTAGCGCTTCCCCCTTGATTATAATAATAATATATACATACCCCTCTGGGTTTTCTTCTATTTTCTTTCTAGTTCTTGTTCTTGTCTGTTTCCTCTTATCTCCATGGGGAAGTGGAAAAGAATTCTTCCTCCGTAAGCCATGCCTGTCGTAAGAGGCGACTAAAATGCCGGGAGCAAGGGGCTAGTAGCCCCTTATCCTGTATATATTACTAAATGTGAAAGGAGAAACTTTTGTTTTTCCTTTTGGGCCACCCCGCCTCTGTGGGATACGGCCGGTGTGTTGAAAGAAAGATGCAGTATAATGTAGTTTACATGTGATAAAATACTATTAGGTATAAAAAAAACACTAGCATTCAGTACATTTTGGGTAACTATGGGTTCATATTATGCTTTATCAACCAAGAAGGCATGTATTGCATAAAGCAGGGGAGGTCATTAATACCTTTTCTGCAAAGCCCATACAACGTTAAGCATTTCAGGCAAGTTAAACTAACCATAATTTAAAAGGGTTACAATTATTACAAAATATTTATTAGTAGTGCAGTATGATAGGGATGGTGTTGTATAGTTTGGAGCAAAAGAATTCTGTTATTACATAGTATTTAGATGAAATAGTCATACAGTACAGCACTATTTAAATTTAAAATAATATAGTAGATTTACAAGCTGTGTGGGTTATGTTCCTGAAAATTGGTATCCAATGCATTATAAAAATGCACTTTGCAAATTGAATAATTGGGACAAAATTGAGTCCATTCTAAGTAGTGTCTCAAGGGGTGCAGAAGTTTATGGGGAAATATGTTCCTTCAGAGAGGTGATTTGATAACTTATTATGGGCCCATGATTCAAGAAATTGAATTTACACTCCCCTTCCTGTCAAATTGATTGCCTCCCATTATTCCCCAGGTTGTATGACCTTGACTGGTTTAGTGCTTCCCATTGTATATATTGAAAAAATGGGGTTTACTTATTGTTAAAAATCATTTAGTGACTGATACATAATATTTTTCCTGTATAGTAACTAATTTCTTTTTACTGATCATTTACAGAATAGATGATATCGAGGACAGCAGTGTACTCCGAAGGGGAATCCCTGTAGCCCATAGTATATATGGCGTTGCTTCAACAATCAACTCTGCTAATTATGTTTATTTTCTTGGGCTGGAGAAAGTTCTTGCTTTAAGTCATCCTAAGGTATAGTTATAATGTATTTAGAATTCTTTAAAGGCAATGAAAGATTAACAATGTGACAATTACTGTAATATGGAATACTTTTGAACTAGTTCTTGAAATACTGCTGTGGATATTGTGCTAGGGTAGTGATATAGTAGATTACCTGGCACTGTCAGAGGAAGGTTACAGTGCATTTAAAAAGTCTAATGATTGTACATTTTTAGGGTCCACATTGTTTATGTATTCCATTAAACACCAAATAAGCTATTGCCAGATAATTAGTGATCACTAGTCTTTCATTATATTACTGTACGTGGAAGGTATGTACGTACAGTGCTATAAAATGTGAATTGTCACTGTACAGCTTTATCCCACTTTTCCTATGATGATACTTTTCCATCCCTTCCTAACAGGTGCCTCCCCACCCCATGAAAGCAGGAAATGGGGTAGTGATGATGATAATATTTTCCACAGGCAACTACAGTATTCTGCGAGCAGCTGCTTGAGCTTCACCGAGGCCAGGGGATGGAAATATACTGGCGAGACTCCTTTACGTGTCCTTCTGAAGATGAGTATCGCCAAATGACAATTAGGAGTAAGATATATTCATTATTTTTCTGTTTGATAATTCTGTGTATTATTATAAAAATAATGCTTTAAGATAGCCCAGAGCATACTACATATGGGTGAATGCAAATGTTCATAGAAAAAGAATACAGGACAAGAAAATAAATGTAGCCTCTTGTAGGAAGAGTTGGATTGGAATATGAGAGCTTTCAAAATAATATGATGTACAGGTCGGCCATCACTAATCCAGCATCATTGGAACCTGCAGTGTGCCGGATTAGTAAGTTTGCCGGATTACAGAGTGGTTAGGTTAGAATACACTTAACCTATCAATAGAGAGAGAGAGAGACTGCTACATCTCCCTCATTTTCATCACTGCTTTCTCCTCCACTGGCTTGCTGCTGTGGATTTACAACCATCTGCACAATTTCTGAGTCAGAATAATGATGAAATTTGAAATTATGCTGGCCGAAATTAGTGCCAGATTACTGATGGAACTGGATAACTGATTGGTGGGTTAGTGATGGCCGACCTGTACTGTACTTCACCAGCACTTATGCCTTCTAGTAAGTACAGTACCCTGTATTTTTTTATTCACATCTTTCAAGACTGGTGATACTGTAATTCAGAACTAGAAAATATAGATGAATTACTCCTTACATAAAACTGATAGTATTTGAAATATTGAGATCACATATGAACAGACAAGAAAGATAAGTCAATTTATGTAGTATGTGTATGGAAAATAAAGTATCTGAATCTCTGATTCCTAATTTACATAACTACTATAACTTTCCTGGGTTTGACAGTTGGTGGTGTACAGTACACACTTGACGAATATGGATGCCTTAAAAACACTTGTAGAGTACTATCTCGGAAAACCGTCTGCCCCTTGAGGGAAACAAAAAAAATGTATGTAGCAGGGATTTTTAGAGTACAGTACTGCATAGCTGCATCTGTACACAATTAGTTGAAAGACAAGTAAAAAAGGGCCCCAAGAGTATTAAAAAAAAAATTGAAAATAGGGTTCATAGTCGTACATATGCTCTCATTGTCTAACAGGAGGAATAGAGAAGATATAACCATATACTATATATACAGTTTTTAAGAGTTCAAAAATTATAGGTGAATAAGTTCATTGAGTATACCTGGTAAAGTGTATGGTAGAGTTATTGAAAGAATTAAGAGTAAGACGGAGAGTAGGATAGCATATGAACAAGGAGGCTTTAGGAAGGGTAGGGGGTGTGTAAACCAAGTGTTTACAGTGAAACATAGGTGAACAGTATTTAGATAAGAGTAGTTTTTGTGGCATTTATGAATTTGGAAAAGGTGTATAACAGGGTGAATAGGGGGGGGGGAATATGGCAGATGTTGCAAATGTATAGAATAGGAGGCTATTGAAAGCTGTGAAAACTTTTTACAAGGATAGTGAGGCTCAGGTGAGAGTATGCAGGAGGCAGATTATTTCCCAGTAAAAGTAGGTCTTAGACAATGATATCTGATGTTACCATGGTTGTTCAATATATTTACAGATGGGGTTGTAAGAGAAGTGAATGCTAACACAAAGTGGGAGTTGTCACAGTTGCTCTTTGCTGATGACACTGCATTTGGGAGATTCTGAAGAGAAGTTGTAGAGGTTGGTGGAAGAGTTTGGTAGGGTATGTAAAAGAAAATTAACTGAATATAGGAAAGAGTAAGGTGATGAGGATAAAAGAATTAGATAATGAAAGATTGGATATCAGATTGGAGGGAGAGAGTATGGAGGAGGTGAATGTATTCAGATATTTAGGAGTGGACGTGTCAGCAGATGGGTCTATGAAAGATGAGGTGAATCATAGAATTGACAAAGAGAAAAAGGTGAGCAGTGCACTGAGGAGTCTGTGGAGACGAAGAACTTTGTCTATGGAAGCAAAGAGGGGAATAATGAGAGTGTAGTTATACCAATGCTCTTATATGGATGCAAAGCATGGGTGGTGAATGTTGCCACAAGGAGAAGGCTAGAGGCAGTGGAGATGTCATGTCTGAGGGCAATGTGTGGTGTGAATATAGTGCAGAGAATTCATAGTTTGGAAATTAGGAGGTGCGGGATTACCAAAACTATTATCCAGAGGGCTGAGGAGGGGTTGTTGAGGTGGTTCGGACATGTAGAGAGGATGGAACAAAATACAGTGACTGAGAGTGTATAAATCTGTAGTGGAGGGAAGGCGGGGTAGGGGTCGGCCTAGGAAAGGTTGGAGGGAGGAGGTAAAGGAGGTTTTGTGTGTGAGGGGCTTGGACTTCAAGCAAGCAAGCATGCGTGAACATGTTAGATAGGAGCAAATGGAGACGAATGGTTTTTAGGACTTGACATGCCGTTGGAGTGTGAGCAGGGTAATATTTATGAAGGGATTCAGGGAAACCGGCAGGCCGGACTTCGAGTCCTGGAGATGGGAAGTATAGTGCTTGCACTCTGAAGGAGAGGTGTTAATGTTGCAGTTTTATAACTGTAGTGCAAGTGCACCTCTGGCAAGACAGTGATGGAGTGAATGATGGTGAAAGTTTTTCTTTTTCGGACCACCTTATCTTGGTGGGAAACGGCTGATGTGTTGACAATAAAAAAAAAATAAAAACAATTATTAAATAAGGAAGATATATTACCATCATGGAGAACAAAAGGCCATAGTCTTTAACTGATGAAGAGAATGCTAGACAGTGTTTCTTCAAAGGTGTAGAAAAACAGATCAGTTTACAATAGGTGGTACCCTAGTAAAGACTACTGTGGGTTCCTTGTTCTGCTGTGGGATTATCAAGTCTTGCCAAGCCTGGTAAATACATCATGTCTGCCTCACAGTTCCTAAGTCAAGACTGAGGGAAGGGGATCTTGTCTCTCTCCTGTGTCCTCCCATCCTCCTTTTCCTCCCACGTAAATACAGATGCTCCTCACTTTACGATAGTCTGACTTACAGTATTTCAGCTTGGTGTTAGTAATGCACATTCTGTACTGTACATTTATTAATAGAATAAATTCGTATTCATTTATTTACTTTTCAGTACTGGTATTTATTTACAGTATTTATTTACTTATTCAGTGACAGGAGTTATTATTTACTTATTTATTATATACAGTGGACCCCCGGTTAACGATATTTTTTCACTCCAGAAGTATGTTCAGGTGCCAGTACTCACCGAATTTGTTCCCATAAGGAATATTGTGAAGTAGATTAGTCCATTTCAGACCCCCAAACATACACGTACAAACGCACTTACATAAATACACTTACATAATTGGTCGCATTCGGAGGTGATCGTTATGCGGGGGTCCACTGTATTAGCATAAGATATTTTCAACTTACAATGGGTTCACTGTAACATAACCCCATCGTAAGTCGAGGAGCATCTGTATTTGTTCATGCATCACAGCTAGTAAGTAGCAGTGCAGAATTAAAAAGAAAATTAAATTGCAGCAAGTCTGAGTGATGCATATATACAGTAGTAAATTAATTAGTTTTAACATTATTGTTTTATTCATGGGGAACTGCTAAACTAGTAAGGGTTACATAGTACCTGGAGAATGATGGGCACTGTATTTCTCTATCACACATGACTCACCTTTACACTTGGCCCACCCTAATTTTAGGAGTTTTTATGAAAAAAATCATACATGTTCTCTACCATAATTATATGGGTTGTATAAGACTTAGGGCATAAGCTGAGTTTTTTTTTTTATTTGGAGGGGAGGAGGGTAAAGATTGTTTTGTTTGATAGAAAATATGGTAGTCAAATTTGAGCCAAGGAAGAGGAGGCCAGCTCAGATTTCTTGAATTAAAAACCCTTCAACATCAAGACATCCTCCTTGAAGGGTATAATTATTATTATTATTATTAGTGCATATATAATACAGTGGACCCTCGGTTATCAGCCATAATCTGTTCCACAAGGTTGGCCTTAAACTGAAATGGCCGAAAACCAAAATAGTATTTCCCATAAGAATTAATATAAATACAATTAATCCGTTCCAGACACCCAACAATATTAACAAAAAATCCATTTTTTAAGATTATTTATAGTTTTACATACACAAAACAATGAGAACTAAATAAAATAAATACTTGAGCAATTAAATCAGTATTACATACCTTTATTGAAGACTTTTTGGCTTATGGAAGATAGGAAGGAGGAGAGAGGGAGTTGGGGTTATTGTTTGGAAGGAAAATCCCCCTCCATAAGGACTTTAGGCAACAAGTCCCTCTCTGAGGTTATTTCTCTTCTTCGTCTTTTAATGCCACTGGACCAGCTTGAGAGTCACTGAACTCCTGTCTCACAAAATAACTCTCCAGAGTGCTCTGTTTCTGGCGTCTCTTAAGATTTCCCTGAAGTGGGACAAGGTTTTGTCACTGAACATGTTGCAGATATGGCTTGTTTCAGCTTGGTCAGGGTGATACTTTTCAACAAAACTTTGCAACTCATTCCACTTTGCACACATGTCCTTAATCACTGAAGAAGGCACCTCCCCTCTCTCTTCCTCCTCCTCTGAAGCAATTTCCTCAGCTGCAGTCTGTTGCTGTTCCAGTTGAAGGTCTTGCAGCTCTTCAGTGGTTAGCTTTTCCCTGTGGTCCTGCACCAACTCTTCCACATCCTCGCCACTCACATCCAACCCCATGGACTTCCCCAGTGCCACAATGGATTGCACAACAGGCGTAGGGTCCTCAGGGTCAACCCCAAACCCTTCAAAATCCCTCTCTTGGACACAATCTGGTTACAATTTTCTCCAAGCAGAGTGCAAAGTCACTCCCTGCCAAGCCTTACCTATAAGACTTATGCAGTGGAGGATACTAAAGTGATTCCTCCAGAACTCTCTTAGGGTCAAATGAGTGTCCGAGGTCACTTCAAAACACTTTTGAAATACTGCTTTTGTGCTGAGTTTTTTGAAGTTAGAAATGACCGGCTGGATGAGAGGAGTGGTGTTAGGAGATAAGAACTTCACTTTTATAAAATGGAAGTCCCTAAACAATTAGTCTTCCAAGTCTGGAGGATGAGCAGGAGCACTGTCCAATACCAGGGGGTGCTTAAGTGGCAATTTCTTTTCCAGGAGATATTTTTTTCACACTGGGGCCAAACACATCATTGACCCATGCCTTATTATTAGCTTTCCACATCACACACAATTTATTCTTGACGACATTGTTTTTCTTGAATAATCTGGGACTTTCAGAGTGATACACCAGTAAAGGCTTCACTCTGAAATCCCCACTAGCATTAGCACAGAACAAAATAGTAAGTGTCTTTCATAGGCTTGTGTCCTAGCAGTGCTGTTTCCTCTTGCGTAATATAGGTCCTCTTTGGCATTTTCTTCCAAAAGAGGCCTGTTTTGCCACAATTGAACACTTGTTGGGGGAGGAATCCTTCAGCCTCTACATACCCCTTGAATTCCTGCACAAATTTTTCAGCCACACATTTGTCAGAACTTGCAGCCTCCCCATGCCTTACCACATTGTGTATGCCACTACGCTTCTTAAATCTCCCAAACCAGCCTTTGCTGGCCCTAAATTCACTAACAGCAGCACTTGTTCCAGGCATTTTCTTTACAAGATCCGCATGCAACTGCCTTGCATTCTCACAAATCGACTCTGCAACACTATCTCCTGCTAATTGTTTTTCGGTGATCCACAAAACCAACAACTTCTCCATGTCTTCCATTATCAGTGACCTTTGTTTGGTTAGCACATTTACTCCTTTTACCACATCAACTTCCTTGATTTGTTATTTCTTTGCCAGGATAAAAGTGATTGTTGATTTGTTTTTCCCATACATCCTGGCAAGTTGTAGGAGCCATACACTACTCTCATACTTTTCAACAACTTCTTTCTTAAATTCCATCGTGTTTCTCACTTTCTTTACCAAAGGAACTTTACTAGGAATTTTCTTTGGGGCCTTGGTTACTTATTTCCCAGTTGCACTTAATCGATAACCACAAAAAAATGTTTGGATGAATGAGCAGAAGCTTCCTCACTCGCCCAGAGACAAAGCCAGACTGACGTGCGAGCGGCTGATGGTGGTGGGTTGACATGTACCATACGGCCGAAAAGCGAAATAACGGCCGATAACCGGGAGCCAAAAAACCAGCTGATAACCGAGTTGACTAATAAGTGGAACAGCTGAAAACCAAGGGTCCACTGTATATTAAATGAAGCAGAAGAGGAAGTAGACCCTTTACCTGCTTCCTTTGTACCCTTTAAAAATTCATAGTGGTAGGAAAAAAAAATTGGCCTTTATACAGCCTTTGCCATTCTTGGAAGGTTTGCATATTTCTATATAAATTTACTTGCTGTATGTACAGTGGAACTCCAGTTTTCATCTTTAATCCATTCCAGAAGGTCGGTTGAAATCTGAAACAAACGAAAGTGGAAGTAATATTTCCCATAAGAAATAACATAAATCCAATTAATCCGTTCCAGACACCCAAAAATATTAACAAAAAATACATTTTATAGAGAATAACTATAGTGCTGCAGCTCTTCAGTAGTTAGCTCTTCCCTGTGGTTGTCCACCAACTCTTCCACATCCTGGCCACTCACATCCAACCCCATGGACTTCCCCAAAACCACAAGAGATTCCACAACAGGCATAGGGTTGTCAAGTTTACACTAATTTATATTAGTAATAGAACTAGGCATTAAAAACACAATAAAAAGTAAAATATATACACAGTATATTTATTGCTTACCTTAAAATGTTTGTAGTCTTAATGTAGGGCGAGAGGTGAGTAGTACTAATTTGTAGGAAGTCAGGTGTAGGTAGCCAGCAGATGTAGTCCGCCTGGGCTACATACCTACACTCCTGTACCTACATAGCTACACGATATTTAATGCGACCCAGAGCCATATTATTACCATTGACATACTATGTTTGCCGAGTTTAATTGTTTCTAACAACTACCTCTAGGTGCCATCATAAACAAAGGAAGAAGTAATGAATAATTCATGCCAAGAATTGTAAACAAGAGCATTATGTATTAAAGGGGGTGACTGGGCCAATGCAGATTCATACACGTTTTTTCTTATGCTGGACCAGAGAAAATGTAATGTTTTCCCTCCACCCAACTACCACTCCTCCATAGCACATAAAAATTGCATGTTTATGTGCTTTGTAATGTGTTTCTTATATACGTGTATGTAATTTTGAAGAAAATATCATAGATGGATTAATGAAAATGTCTATATTAACGTAAAATAAGACATTTAATGTGCCCAAGAGTGATTATTATGTATTATTATTATTATTATTACTATGGCATTAAGACTAGAGGGACACTCTTAGTGAATGAGTAACAAAGGCAGACAGTCATGAACGTATGAGTGGCCACGTCCTGTGGGACACGTCTGATATGGAGGATTTCCGAGCGGAGGTACGAAATTTGGCGTAAAATTTCGCCCAAAGAAGTAGTCGAAATCTGAATTGTACGATATCCACACCGGACAAAATCCGAGGTTCCACTGTATTTTTAATTGAAAATTATTTGTTTTATTTTAATTAAATACATGTATACTATTATATTTACAATCTGTAAATAGTATTTTAATTTTCCTATGATCTTAAAATTTTGGTTGGATACTTTTTTCATTTAAACATATTTGTTGAATACTTTCCTAGTACCAGTGCATTTTTTTTTCTTTTTAACACATTGGTCATCTCCCACCAATGCAGGATGACCCCCCCCCCTCCAAAAGAAGAAGAAAAAAACTTTCACCATTATTCACACTATCACTGTTTTTGCAGAGGTTCACAGATATGACAGTTTACATGTCACTCTAAACAGCAAATAGTATCCCAAACCCCTCCTTTAATATGGATAAGTCATGAAAAAATGCATGTTAAAACAGCCCATGATTTTTTCCTTTATAACTGTGATCCTTACAAGCTTAACCCTTTTGAATATAACATTTTCCTGTGTCTCCAGAGACGGGTGGACTCTTTGGCTTGGCCATTCGCTTGATGCAGCTTTTCAGTCAAGTTCAAGAAGACTTCTCGACAATCACTGGAATTTTAGGCTTATACTTCCAGATTCGTGATGATTATGCGAACTTGTGTATGAAAGAGGTGAGGACAAAGGCTGTGAAGGTTATGAATAATGTCCCTTGAAGGCATCTGAAATACCTGGAAACATTCCACACGAGACCAATAAAATTCCCAAATAGAATAAAACCAGAGATATAAATAGCTCCTTAGGATAGGCAGTATTGTGAATGTCGAAACTGAGGATGAAAAAAACTGCAAGGCACAGCATGTCAAACTGTGGATGTAGATTAGAACAGATTTCCATTGACTTATGTTACTGTGCACATTTGTTTCCTCTGGGAGCTGCTCTTACATAAAATGGTGACATTATATGAAACCTTTTCCCAAACATGACTAACTTCAAATGTAGATTTAATAATAGGGCCAGATGCTGCAACTTATGACACTTAAATTAAAACTCGCTTATTGAAGGTAGAGGCAATGTTATAATTACTGATTTTTATTTCTTCAACAGTATAGTGACAGCAAAAGCTATTGCGAGGATCTGACTGAAGGAAAATTCAGCTTCCCTGTCATCCATGCAATCAGAACAAAACCAGATGATCAACAAGTCATCAGTATCCTTTTAACTCAGTTACTTTATATTATGCTTCTCTCAATACCTCCATGGATCTTCCTTTACCATCTCTCACCTCTACTGTGTTTAACAATGTGTATAAATGTAATGATAATTTTTTTTAACAATCCAGCTGTCTTCTGCCAAAGTTTGAACCAACAACGACAACAACATTTACAGTCAGTCATTCACTCACTGTTTTGTCAGAATGACACTGATATCATACTTAAGTTGACCCTCCAAACTCCTACATCCCCACCCCTCCTTCAGAATGCAAGTATTGTACTTCCCATTTCCAGGTGGGAAGTGAAGTGCTTTCCTGGTTTTCCTGAATCCCTTCATAAATGTTACCTTGCTCACACTCCAACAGCATGTTAAATAATAAAAACCATTTGCCTCCACTCACCCCTATCTAACATGCTCACACAAGCCTGTTGGATGTCCAAGCCCCAAGCACTCTAAATCTCCTCCCTTCAACCTTTCCTAGGAAAACTCCTACCCTTCCTTCCTTCTACCCCAGGTGTATACACCCTTCTAGTCATCCTGTTTTTCAATATCTCTAAATATCCAAACCACCTCAGCAACCCCTCTTCAGCCCTCTAAATAATACTTTTGGTAACTCCACACCTCATCTTCAAACTCTGAATAATAATTACACTACATCTTATCTTTACACCCATTCAGCAGTGTTGGTACTACTCTTTTCTGGTACATGGATAAAGCTGTCTCCACAGATGCCACAGTATACCACCAATTTTTTTTCCTTTTGTCAGTTCTGTGGTTCAGCTCATCTCTCATAAAGCCATCTGCCAACAAGTCTACTTCCAGATATCTGAACACATTTCCTTCCTCCATACTCCCTCCCTCCAATTGTATATCCAATCTCTCATTATTTATATTCTTGATATTCTCATCCTTGCTCTTTACTACGAATACTTTTAATTTTCTTCTTTACATACCCTCTCAGAGTTGTTTACCAACCTTTGCAACTTCTCTCCCAAATCTCCCAAAAGCAAAAGGCAGTTGCTCATCTCAAAGTACTGTATTTAATAATCCATTGTATACAAGAGAGCAGGGTAGTTATGTATGTCTATTATTGCATTCAAGCAATAGTCAGATTTTGTTTCCATTCATCTCTATAATAATACAATAAAAAAAAATTTCTAGTTGCTATTTTCTTTGAAAATGTTTTTAAAACATCCTCTTCTACAGTGTTACAATAAATTTTGTACAAGCATTTTAGATCAGTCTAGTAAATTTAAGAAATTTATCATGCAATGCACAAAAGGTAGTTCACTTGCCTTTACCCATTATTCTGCTTGAGCAATACATTTGTAGGAGTTCTTGTTGACTATGGTTTTAGGTTAACCTTACTCCATTTAAATAACTTAGATTTTTTTTTTTTTTACTTTATGGGTCATCTCCTGCCTAGGTACATTGACCCAGAAAGGGAAAACACTTTCACCATTGTTCATTCAATCACTCTCTTACCAAAAGTATACCAACACAATTTAGCTGACCCCTCACACTGCAACATCCTCACCCCTTTTGCAGAGTGCAGGCATTGTCCTTCCCACCTCCAGAACCCTAGTTTGGCTAACCTGTTTTTGTGAACATCTTCATAAATGTTATCTTGCTCACACTGAACAGGATATCAAGCATTGAAAATGACTTGTCTCCACTGCTCTAACATGTTCACACAAGCCCCTACTACTCAAGTCCTCTATTACCTGCCGTCTTCAACTGTTCCTATTTTGACCCCCTACCCTTCCTTTTATCATCCTATTCACTTTCATCCTCTGAATGCCCAAACCACCATAACAACCCCTCCTCCTTTAAAGTGTAGGCATTGTAATTCCCACCTCCAGGACTAAGTCCAGCCAGCCAGTTTCCCTGAGTCCCTTCACAAAACATTATTACCTTGCTCATACTCCATCAGCTCAAGTCCCAAAAACCATTCATCTCCATTCACTCCTATCTAACACTCACACATGCCTGCTATATGCCCAAGCCCCTTGCACACAAAACATCTTTGCCCCCTCCCTCAAGCCTTTCCTAGGATGACCCCCTACCCCTCTTCCCCTCCACTAAAGATTTATACACCCTCCAAGTCATCCTATTTTGCTCTATCCTTTCCAAATGCCCAAACCACCTCAGTAATCCCTCTCTCAACTCTTTACAGCATTTAGCAAGTTACTACCTATTCCATACACATGCAACATCTACCACATTGCTCCCCTATCCACCCTGTCATGCCTTTTCCAAATCCATAAATCCAATGAAAATTTCCCTACCTTTACACAATTATTGTTCAGCTAATATACTTCAATGTAAACACTTGGCCTGAACATCCCCTACCCATTCTAAAGTCTTGTTCATCTGCAATCCTGCTCTCTGTGTTACCTCCAGTTCTTTCAGTAATAACCCTATCATCAGACTCATCATCTTTTAATCCCAAATCTCACCTATAAATAGATAGATCAACTTAGTGACATTATGCATTTCTGTCTAAATTGTATTTTCACTGAAAAATAGTCACCCTTTTGTCTTTATACTTTGAAATAAGATTCACTCTCCACATAAAAACTCTTTACTTCTTTTAGTAACCTACCACCTATTCCACACATTTGATACATCTGCCACCTTGCTTCTCTACCCACCTTACCATGCCTTTTGCCTTTTCTAAATTAATAATTGCAATAAATATCTCATTACCTTTATTTAAGTAATGCTTATTATTATTATAGGGGAAATGTTAAGCCTCTCCAGTCATACAGCACTGGGAAATGAGAGGTAATTAGGTTTAATTTGAGTAGTGGATTTTAGTTCTTTGGATGAAGAGCTATTCTTCAACAACATGCCACAACTCTTGAAGAGAATAGGGTGTGATATAGATGTAGCAGACCAGAAAGCTTGATATAAGAACAGTTTCCTTAACTGCCTTATTCAGATATTATTCGACAGCGTCCAAAAGACTTAGAAGTAAAGAGGTATTGTGTGTCCCTACTTGAAAAGTTTGGATCACTTCAACACACGAAAGAAACCTTGATAACACTGGAAGGTGAAGCTAGGGAAGAAATTCGGAGATTAGGTGGTAATCCTCATCTAGAGAAAGTTATGGACGAACTACGAAACTGGGAAAACTTGTAATTGGCTCATGCTACCGAACTTTCTCTTTGGACTGTAACCTAAGCTGATGCTTAGTTAAAATATATAAATTTCTTTTTCTTTTGTGTGTAACCTATGGTAATTTTATCTTCAGTCTTTATATAATATTTTATATAAAACAACTCATTGCCAAAGTCTAGTTTAACATTTATGTAAAATAGTTTATGTAATGGTTTTTATTTATATGTGATGATTTATTCTAAATAGTTGTACAAGACTTCCCCCCCCCCCCCAGATTTCCCTTTTTTTTTTTTTTTTTTTTTAAACATATATGACAGTAGGTACTGTATGTTCATTAAAAATTATTTCTTTTCAACACAAGTTTGAGCTGAAAATTCTAGTTTCTAAGATTAAATCAAATGCTATGTAAATTCAATCATACAGGAGCTAATGTGTCAGATTTAGTCTTAATCTGATTGAAAAATTCATAGACGTATTTAAATGTTTTTGTATACGTGATTTTCTTTTTAAATACACGTGTAACCATGAATTTGGGAGTTTTAATTAGATAAAACAGTATTCAAGTATCATTGATTATAATAATGGCTTATAAATTCCTGAACGAAAATCAGGGCTTTATAATTATGTACTGATTTAAAAGTTAATGAAAACTCAATTTAAATTTACCATTAATTAAAAATGTTTAGACGATTTTAACATTTTAAGCTAAACTGCGTTTTTAAAATATTGTACACTATTCGAACTGAAAGACATTATCACTTAAAATCTATAGGCTTCGATTAATCTATTTTTTTTTCCAGTCTTAGGGAAGGTACTTTAATGTCTTCAGGTGTTACAAGACTAAGGAACAATAAAAACATTCAGCAAAATGTTCTCATTAGTCAAGTTAAATACAGTGCCACTTGCAATCAAAGAATATAAGGATAAAATTAAATGCCTTACCAAACAAAACTGGGGAAAGGGCAAAAACAGAAGGGAGCAGTGCACATGTATATTTTATATAAAAGTAAACTATACATAAGCTATTGTTGAGGTAAATAATTTTAGATAACCCAGTGTTGCTGTAATGTTAGTGTAGCCAAACAAGACAGTCCTCTGTGTAAGGATTACTGGAGATCAAAGGGCAACCTTGCAATTTAAAGGACATGATTGTACACTCTTCGCAACCACATCATGGTTTTGCAATTGCAAGGTTCACAATATGGCGAGATTCTCATTTTATTGTAAGAGTCATTGATAGGCTATAATTTTTCCTCAATAATATGTACTTCCATGGGAAACTAAACCCATATGGTCTGCTTCCTTTTTATTTACATTCTCAAAATTGAACAAGAATTGTCTATGCTTGGAAAATGTTAAAACAAATTACTTATGTAGATCTTGTTACAAATTTTCTATCTGGAGCCCTAATTTGGCAGGTAAATTTTAAATTTTTTGAAAAACTTTCCTAGTTAAATTTTTTCTTACAAAAGATAATCTGATTAATGCAAATTTATCTTAAAAAAAGTATTTAACTACTCTTCCTTTTTTAGGAAATATTAAAATAAAATTATAGGCTTTAAAATTAAACCTCGAAACGAATATACCTGCACTGATTTAGGTATTAAAGCCGATACTGTACAGTATTACAAATTCCTATATAGCATTTTGAGCAAGACATTACTTCGTATTGGAAGTAAATCATCAAATGAAAGGATTCAATGCTCTTGATAATGAACTATTGCAATATTTAATCAAAACATTAAATTTTTCTATATACGTATTTTAGTATGTTACATTGTTATTAATCTAAATTTTTTTTATATTTCTCTTACCTTCCTTTAACCTAAAATCTATATGCAAACAAAAGCTATTAGGTAATAATACCTGATGGTGCAATGCAAATACAATGCACATTCCATATGTTTACAGTCAGGGAAGATGTCAGTATTGAGCTCGACTGTCAGTTATAAACTGATATTTATGTTGGAATTGTATATTTAGTGCAATTGCTGTATTATTTTTAAAGTGTGATACTTGGACTTGAATTGTGCACAAACCAAAAGATGTATGGAGAAGAACACAAAACAAAGATGGTAGGAGTACATAATGGGATTGATGATTATCAATTTGTTATGGAAAATACAGTACAGAACTGAGGTATACTGTACTCCTTACCCTGATTAGCTTGAATGCTAATTTGCACTTGTTAACATGGAAAGATTATTAGTGTGATTGAATGCTTTTTACTGAATAGCATGCAGAGAGCAACCACACATTTTACACACTTATACACATTATTATTTGAAAGAAGGTATTATGGGCCTGAACCAAAGTATGCCAGAGGACAACCCCGACACGAACTTATCTCTAACCTAAACCAAAGTGTGTCCAGGTATTGTGTAAATTAGGATTTATTTCCAGTATGGGGGTTCAACACTCCAGATGGATTAAGTAAAAATGCTTGTTTCAAAACTTATGTAATATTGTGGTATACTAGTTGTAGAAGTGTAGGGGTTGCCAACCAGTAGGCCCTGGTTTAAGCTCACAAATAGACCTAGTTTACACAAACACTACTAAAAAAATTTATTTTTTAATATTTGACTGATCTCAACATTCTCATAACCTTACATACTATGGGCATATTACGTTCTTGATGTGGTTATTCACATTAAAAAAAATCATTTACATAATTAAGTTTTCTTTTCCACTATATTTTGAATTAACAGAAGTCCCTACAAAATAGCTACATTTGATTTTGAGTGACAAGGTGTAATACTGTCAAGTTTCGACCTGAGTCAACATATTTTGTGAATGAAGATACACATGCTCAGTTCAAGACATTGAGGAAACATTCTGCCAAAGTGACAAAGAAACCACTCATGGCAAAAAATTTCCTTGATAAATGTCTGAAACTGCATGTATGTGTATTTGTGTACTGTTGGTATTACCATGCCTGTTCTCTAGCCATACTTTGCAGAATATTTATGTACCATTCATACGAGTGTCATATATACAACAGTGACACCTTGGTACAGTTGATAAAAAATGAGCAATTTGTGATATATTTATTAATTTTGTATTTCTGTGTAAGTACTTAACAGCATATTAAATGCTTTTATAAATGACTAAGTAATAGGTACACAGAATTTTACCAATTGGTATGCCTTATATGCAGTAATTCTGAAGAGCCTGTCCATAGAGAATCTTGCTTAGGAGAATATTCCTTAACCCCCTTCCCTCCACACCCCAACACACCCCCAACTACATACTTACACACCCCCAGTATATACTGTATAATTATATACATATTTATAAAACACACAAACACACTTACAAATTTACATACAGGGTATATGAAAGCACGGTGAGCTTGATTTCATGGATACAAATTTATTTAGTAAAATTAAAACCTTTTTTTTTTTTCACTTAAAGAATAACTGCCTAGGTCAATTTGTGCTTCCAAACTCAATGAGTGTTACTAGTGCCTCACCTGTATCCCCCATCATGGGATATTAAGAAAGGAGACAGTGTTCACCATCGTTTTGATGGGACTTTGGTGTTACCTCAAGGCGAAGTGTAACTTACAAAGCATAATAAAAATAATTCCCTTGATATTATAGCTTGCTTTACATTTGCAGACGATAGTTTTGCAGTTACTGTTACTGAGCTGAAGATTGTGTCGGTGTTACAGCAAAAACAGAAAAAATACATATTTTTTAAGTATTATATAGTTTCATTTAAGTTATTACGCAATTTTATAATATCAAAGAATCACTCAACTCTCAAAGGTCATTTAGCACCCGATACTTACCATAAAGTACTCAATATTCAGTCATAAGTGATTCACTCTTAGTTTTCGAGATTTTAGTACTATTATCAATCCTCATGTGGTCATCTGTCTTACAACTAATTAATGTACCAAGAAAATTTAATAAGCACTGAGTATCACAAATGCAGCAATTATTATGTGATTTATTATCGACACATTTAATCAATTGCACAATGTACTGTATTTTATGAATGTGGCAGTGTCAATTGTTGGTCCTATTTCTTTTCACAAGTTTAGGAGATGAAACGTTTAATTTTGTAGTTTAAAACTTCATATAAACTTTTTACATAAAATGTGAAAAAAAAAAAAAAAAAATCAAATCTATTGCTCTGAAAATCTTCTCCTTTGCACTCTACTTGTGATTTAATTCATACATTTATGCAATATAAAAATAATTTTAAATTTTTTGAACATTAAAAATTAAACATTACCAGTATTGTTCTAAACATGCTTTTAAAGAACTTTTATTCTGTTCTAATTAGGATGTGCTTATGTAAAAAGTATATACTACTGACTGGGATACTATATAGTTTTCATGTGTATTTAGGATCACCAACAGCCTGACTGATCAAAGAGAGGGCCATGCCAAATGCAAAAGAGTGACTTTCATGAAATACAATACAATGTGTAATTTTTAAGAAGTGTAATATGCATTTTAACTGCCATCAAACTGGTGTTGAGAAACGACTATTGTTGGGAAGATATAAGTTTTATAGGGTGTATACAGTATTATTTCAGTTGTGACTTACCCAGCTGAGTGATGTAGTTTTTGTCTTTAAAGAAAAGACAATGTCAACATATCAAATAATTTTAAATATTCACTGAAACACCAGTTCTCCATAAAACATGATTAGTTAGATTATATAATAATTATTAATATTCCAATACTGCTACGAGCTTATCTCTAGAAATTCTGCTTGTTCAAATGCAACTTAATAAGTTAAGTAAAAGGACACAAGTGCAACTAATGTGACATTTTATTGTGGCAACTTTTCGCTCTCCAGGAGCTTTATCAAGCTTGATAAAGCTCCTGGAGAGCGAAACGTTGCCACAATAAAATGTCACATTAGTTGCACTCGTGTCCTTTTACTTTACATATTGTCGGTAATTCTACCAACTTTATTGCAACTTAATAAGTTAATAGAATTAGAGCATTTTCCACCTGATGTAGATAATTAGTTGTAATGAGCAGGTAAATGCTTCTATTTCCAACTGATTAAGCACACATTCATATCTCATACTGTATTTGGGAAGAAACTTTCTACCAACCACAACAGCCAATTTATTGAAAATGGAAAAAAGAGTATGGTATACATAAAACAAGTATGACACTTGGAATATTTACAATGAATGAAAAGTAGGGGTTATTCCCTATGAGCTAAGTGTGACAAGGGCATTACTGACTGGAAAGCTAAATATGATTAGGGCATCATGGGTTATACAGGGAAAGGGT